CCATGTTTAAAATACATTGACTTAATTAAGTCAGGAAGGTAAACACTATAAAACAAACTGAAGTCTTTTGTGACGTGCTTTTTGCATGAGCAGTCAATAGGCAGCAGAGCTAGGTGACCAGGTGTCCTATTTTATGTGTGACTGCACAGCATTTTATCCCTTGTCCCTCATTCTACATATTGAGTCAGTGCTCTACATTTAAAAAGTCAACACTGCAGGACAAAGCCTGGCTCTTTATCAAAGACTGTAAAGAAAGCAGGAACGTTATCATCATGCATCAAGTACAGGCTAACCTGTAACCTATCTTCATATCTTTTCCTAAGCTATGTGTAACAGGGAAAACTGAATCCTGCTAATTCAAATTCACAAACTAGACATGTATTGTCACAATATGATGGAAAACCAATTAAAAAAAAAAATACAGGTCAAATGGCTAGAAGGTGATTCTTAGAGATGGCTCTTCATTTTTGCCAGAGTAAAGCGATCCTTCACATGCCAAACCTGTAACCTACAAATTTCAGTCTATCTGCACTTTGTTATTGATATTTATATTTAAAAGTGCAATACTGTAATTTTCTGCTGCTCATTCCTGTGCAATATCCCATCTGCCCTCCCGTCATATTTCTTTTCAAGATTTTCTTATTTAATCACTAGTGTACATATATTTATATTTATAGATACATATATATTTAGTCATCTTTTCTCTTTTACCATATCTCTCTAATATTTTGCTCCTATTTTTCTATTTTATTATATTATATTATATTTTCTCCTAATGTATCATACTGCTGAGTGACTGCTGCTCGTCAAACATTTCATTGCAATGTTGACCCTGTGCTAACTTGCATATGACAAATAAAACTGAAACTGAACTGTCTTGTCCACACTACCAGATGCAACCATACTCTGTTTGCTGGGATCCTGTCACCTTAAGTAGAACCCAGCAGAACTTCCAGGACTTGAAAGCTCTTATTTCCATTTGGGGCCAACGATGCTGCTGTTGCCACTGCTTAGCAAATACTACACATTTGTGAACACTGGCAACTTCTGCATGTGTCAAAATAAGGGTGTGAAACAGACTGAAAATTCACTGTATGCATAATCCGGTGCTGCAGGATGACCCCACAGGGTCTGAGTTACTCTTATCCTGAGTCTCACCAGTGTCCAAAGGACTGGGAAGACTCTTGGAGCTCTCAATATAAGCAGCCGTCCTAGAGTCTCAGGGTAGTTTGCCTCCACGACCTCGATGATCCTCAGCAGCGCCTTGACTCCTGGTCGCCATAGGTGACGCATGTTCAGCCCCTCCAGATCTACTAGACATGTCCAACAGCTAGAGAAGAGGACATGAGAGGATTAGGGATGTGTGTGTACAAGGACGGCCACAAACCCATAAATGGGCTACGGCCTCTTTTTGACCACTTAGCACTTGTCACTCTGAAGTAAAGCTTAAGTGGTGAAGGCAGTGCTTGCTAATTCCGGAACCCTCCAACCCTTGCAGCACATTCTTCCTTTCCTTCTATCTGTCCTGGCAGAGTGCTGTGACGTGACAGCCTCTCATAGTTCACATGCCTTCCTGCGCAGCTCTTATCCCAGGCACCTCCTCCTCCTCCTCCTCCTGCTTCAGAGAGCTGACAGATGACAGATACCATCTCTGTTCCCTCCCTCTCACTCTGTCAGTTGCCATCTGAATGAGTCCCCTGAAAGGCGAGCCTCATGTGCGCTTTCCATTTTGGGGGACATAAATTCTGCTCTGGACTCACTGAAAGTGTGTGTGTGTGTGTTTGTGTGTGTACCTGTGCCCAGTTCTGACTGCTGAACCGAATCTAAAACGGCTTGCGCGTTTTTAAGCTGCTTTTAACCTGCATTTATATT